TTTTCACCCATGGTGTGAAGTCACTAAATAACACAAAATGAGTGTATATTGGGAAATATAAAATAGCATAAACCAAGACAATACTCCAGCATACTGGAGACTGTTCCTTTTGTCAGCGTTTGGTAAGGGGGAAAATGGTAAAGCCTGAAGCAAGCAGAAAGCATCAGAACAGCCAAGCATTAAAGAGTCATATTGCCTTCTGGCTGTCACACCTAAAAATAACTTAAATGTAGTGGATATTCCTGACAGTGACAATGTCTGATAAAATCTTCATAACCTGCAGATGGAGTACTTCTAGGAAACAGTAAAACAAAGAAGCTTTCAGGAAAGAATGCCATCCTCCCATAAACAACCTGCAGTACATAACTGCGTTGTTGTTTGTGAGAAATATACCAAGCACTTCAGGGGATTTCAGCTTAATTTCTTCTCTGAAGCTGGAAGACATTTTCTTAAGAGATTTATCAATTCTTGGTGCACCATGCCCAGTCCTGAAAAGTGCTGAGCTCTTCTTTGGGATGTTAAATGTTTTCAGGTGACATTGACATCAGTGATGAGAGAGCCCTCTAACACTGCTCTGAAAAATATCTGTTTGTAAAATTGATTCAATTGAAGTTTGTGGAAATAAGGTGTTCCAAACAATGTTTTCAAAGGTGGGATCTGCCTGGTGCTTCTGTGGTCCACTCTCACTGGAACCCACATTCTCAGGGGTTCCTTAACACTAGAAATCCTGCATGCTGGGCACCCCTCTGCCACCCATGTAACCGCTCCTCACCTTTGGATTCATAGCCAGAAGGTTTCAGAACCGATATTGTTATCAAAGTGAGTATTAGGCTAAAAAGCAACTACATAGTTGAGAAGGAGAAAGGTTCAAAACAAAGAAAAGCAAGAAGTCTTCATGCAATGTTTAGTTAAGCTGTGGACCTCCCTGCCAGAGGATGCTGAGGGTGCTGAAGGTTTAAGTTGATTGAACAGAAAACTTTTGACTGTTTATGAACATACAGAAAACACAGCTGGCTCAGGGAGGTACCCCGGCTGGTGGTGGTTGGATACCTAGTATCACCACAGCCTGCCTTGTTCTTGATAGTTTTTAGCATCTTTATAATTTTTTTAGCACCTATTTTTGGGCAATGATGGAGATATGATGCAGTGCTGGATATAGGACACTGGGTTCAATGGACCTTTGGTCTGACCCAGTAGGGCTGCATTTTTTTTTTTTTTAATATTCAAAGTCAAGTTGTCAGTTGATTTAGGATACCTGAGACATTTCTGAAAAGATAAAAATTCAGAGATCCTAATTCTCCTAACTTCAGAGACAGGTACTACAAAAGCATATGGATGCCTGAGGTCTAAATTCATCACTGCTCCTGTGAAACTTGATTGTATTAGGAACTGAGTCACCAGGAGTACAAGTATGGAAAACCAGGAGGATCAAGCTCCAGCCCTGCTGAAGCGAGTGGGAGTTTTGTCCTTGACTTCTGTGGGGCTAGGATTTTACTTAATGCTTTTATTTCCCCTTTCTCACACTACAAGAGCCAGAGGATATAGGACTGAAATAACAAATGATGCCTTTGAGCTGATACATAGAAGTATTTCTCCATGCAATTGATTTTTCAAACTTTATGCTTGGGAAAGTATTTGGACGTAAACTGCAATTAAAAATCTTTCAGTCTTGCTGAGACAAATTTACATAAATAATATGCCTTTTTATACTGCAGGGCAGAAACAGACTGCTTAGGGATAGGAAGATGGTGTTGCATATCTGTTTGTTGTAGGTGGCTGTTTTTTCAAAACTTCCTCTAGCATGTATGTTGGAGGACGGCAGATTGGATGGATATTTGGTTTAATTTGATATGGTCTTTGGTTAAAATAGACTTCCTGAAAACATGCAAACTCTTCTACACATTGAAAAGTAAAGGGAAAATATTAAAGTAACTGCTGCTTTATGTGTTGACAAATTAAATGTTACCATGGATACCCTGGTCTGTTTACAGCAATAATAATAAATATTTTCAATTCACACTGTGCTTTTCATCTCAAAGGGTCCCCAGGTGGTTTACAAATGACATACATGGATTGCTCTACACGGCACTGAACTGCAGCCACAAGAACTGCCTAATAATCTATATTGGTACTGCCTGGCGGTGGAAGGTAGAAAATGTACTGTACCCTGAGTGAATCTGTGGGGATTGTTTGGGAAACCAGAATGTAAATCGCAGACCTGAAAAAAGAGCTGAACAGCAAAATGCAAAGAATCAGATAGGATCAGGTATCAAGTTACTGATATGATTTGGTAATTCTTTGAGCAGCTGGATTAAATTTTTACTAGAGCTGGGAAGAAACTGTTTCCTTCTTGAAAAACATAGAGGTCAAAACCTTTCCCTTTTCACCCCGAGGTGAGTACCTCTGCAGTTTTGAAGGGAGAGAGCATCCCGCTGCAAACAGACAGTTTAGGGCCCTCTCCAGGGATGTGGGAGATCCGGTTTCTAGCCTTATTTGATTACTTCGCCCTGCTGAGTGACTGTCTTTACTCTTCCTGGGGGAATTGTTCATTTTGACCCAAATAAGCTTATCAAATTATTACGGTTATTTGAATTAGTATTAGTTGGGGCTTGAACAAGGTATCATTGCAAGGTAACTCCGGTGTGCACAGCTGTTGAACAGCTGGGTCATTTTCTCTCTGGCAATCTGTACAAAGTGGCCGAAGCCCCAGTGAAGGAGATCAGAAATGAGCAACATGGCAGTAGCTTGGTGATCTGGATATTCTTCTGAGAAGAGAAATGCCAATACAACTCTCCTGCTTCCTACATGAGTACACGGTCCAAGCCAGGGAGCAAGCAAGACTCTGTCTGCCTGTCTTTTTTTGCAAGAAAGTTTCTCCTGAAACTAAGAAACTTGACTGAAACTTCACGATTATCACTGGTATCTTCCCACATTTTTTGTCATGAATCAATCTTTTATGGCTTAAGGAAAAAAATGGCTTCATAAAATAAATAATAAAAAAAAAAAAAACCAAACCCTGACAGTTCAAATATTTACCTTTCCTTTAGATCACATTTAACTTTGTGCTTTCTAGATATAGTGTGAGTAATTCTCTATGCTTTTGCTTTCTTAGGCAGAGCATTAGTGCTTGTGACCTATATAACCAGTGGCAGAGAAAATGATTCCTTAGAAACACTTTATACTCAGAGTGGTTTTCTACATTGTTTAGGAGAGGCAGCTACATGACGGAGTCCAGTGAACTGCTTGAGAATTCTTCATTGCAGTGCCTGCCTTTATAGCAGTAACTCTTTTAAATTCCTGAGCTGTGCCTAACCCTTCTGGGGTCAAAAATAATCGCAGGTGCAAGTGATGGAAACGTATCTAAGTAGTTATTATTATTTCACACTTCAGTCTTGGAAGGCCAAGAAACCTGGAAGACCAGGTCCTTCTACCTGTAAAAAAAAAAAACAAACCAAAACCCAAAGAACAAACCACAACCCCTCACTACTAACAGCTTTTTTCTTAATGAATTTGCCTTGTATTATTAAGCATCCAAATAATTAAAAAAATTGTTAACAAAAAAGGTCGATTTGGCTGAGGCTCTTCACTGGGCTAAAACTAAGTGGAATTTAAGTTAACTACTGGAGTTCAGTAGTGACTCTCTTCCATCCTTTCAAGAGAGGGTATTTAAAAAGTGCAACACTTCCATCTGACTTAAGCTTTTGTTGAGAAACCAAGATAGGGTTGAGGTTTATACCTTAAACACGGACCAGGTTTGCTGATATTTTGTAAACCTTTTGGTGTGTGTTGGGCGAGCTTCTAGCAAACTGTCTCAGCTATTATTTTGATGGCAGTCTTCCTGAAACTCAGTGTTTCCATGTGGTTTCCACCCAGAACAATGCAAAACCTGCTGAATTTACCTGGAATTTACTTTTACACTTGGGAACCTGAAAAAATGGAGCACTTTAGTAGCATGTTTCTATATTAACACACATTACAGGAAAAAGAAAAGGGTTGCACAGATTTATGTGAACTGGGATCACTAAGATATTGACAGTGTTTTCTTGGATACCTATTTATAAAACCTTGGCTTGCTGCTAGCCTCCTGTGAAAACTGCCAGCCTTGACTCTAAATTTTGTCTGTTCATAGGATAGGGATGATTTGCCTTGCCTTTTTCAGTGGGTTGCTGCAAGCACTCTGAATCACATTTTTAAACATCATTGGGTAAAAAAACTGCAGAGAGGAGTTTACAAACCATGTGATGAACCACCAGGAGGAGGAAGAGCTCAGAAGGCTTTTTTGTGTCTGTGTGCATGTACATTTTGCTCAGTTTATCATCATTACCGCTAAATTACTTTTGTTGTTTTCCTACAGTCGCTTATGTTCTTACTTACCGATAATGTCTTGCGTTCTGCTGCCAGTTGTGTTTCTAGAGACTTGCCGCTAGTATAAGTAGTAGATGATTGATGGTGTACTGTAATCTTGGGTTGATTCATTATATCTTGAATGATTAAAACACGCTGCTTGTATTTGAAAGGCTGAAATCTGAGCACAATTTGCTGCAAGTCAGAAATCCCCGTGAGCAAGGGGAGCCACAGAAGCAGGGGCTGCAGCATGGCAGGGAATACAAGGAGCGTCAGTGGGTAGATCACAGCAAAATCTAACCCTTCATCTTTTTTTAATTGTGTGCTGACTCCTACACAGAGATTTGACGGATAAGCTGGCTTATTGACTCGTTAGTCTTGCACTAATTGACTGCGGGTTTAGATACCGGAGCCTCTAACCAGTTGTTAAACTCTGAGTAGGCACGTTGGTAACATGCCAGCAAGAGTGTTTGGGGGAGGAGAAAGCTGCTGGGTACATGTCTCTCAGATTCAGCTCCCCGCGCCGGGAGATGTGTGAGGTTGGGTGTGCGTGCTGTCACAAGCAGATATTCAAGGGCAGCTAAGAGCGAGCTCGAGCGCTGTGACTTCCACGGGGGGAGAGAAAGGCTGCTGCTGAAAGTACAAGCTGGCAGATCATGACAGAGCCAAGCAGCAGAAAGGAAGGATTTAAAAAATGCCGGAGTGCTACTTTCAGCATCGATGGCTATAGCTTTACAATTGGTGAGCCCGATTTAATTCCTCTTCTTTCTTTCATTGTCTCTGTTCTCCTCCTTTCCTCTCTTTCTTTGCAGCTCCAGTAAGTACAGGTGAAGACAGCTGTTGACAACTGCCTTTTGTCAATATATGCCTTTAAAACGTACAGATGCCCTGCAATTTTTGTCTGGGTTGGTTTTCCATTCTGCCTTCTATATTTTCTTCTGCCCAGGAAACTTGCCTTTGAGATGCAGCCACTCTAAATCCTTCCACTGGGTTTTGGCATGAGTTCACCGAGACGTTCGCAGAACTTTTGTTTTGGAACCTTATCTCAGGAAAGCCTGGGCTTCAGGATTGCAGGTTTCCAACTTGCTAGCTGCGTTTCCTTCCGATGAGCCCAGAACATAACCCCTGGGAGCCTTGGCTTTGTTTCCAGTATTTCTTTGTTCACTTAGCCAGCGTTGCCAAATTCTTTAACCTTTTGCCATTTCTCAGTTTGCGTAAAGATGCATGTAACAGTTCTTATTGCCTCTCAAACACAAAGAGCAAAATTGCTGGGGCAGGGAAAGATGTAAGGAGAGATTAGGAAGTTTAGGACTGGTTGTTGTTGCTGTTTGAAGAGTGCAGTTTATTGTTTGTGTTCACTGTCTTAGGGAAAAGTGAGGCTTCTTAAAGCGACAGGTGTCTAGATGTTTTTCCAACAGACTTAACTCTGCAAAAGTTAAAATCTGAGGATTCCCTGAGCAGGCTGCTCTGCTAAAACTGCATATCTCACTAGGTTTTGTTATATAAATCCCTATAGATCTTAGAAACAAAGCAAACTTACATCCCACTTTAATTTTTAGATGAAATCCAAGTTAAAATATATAGAAAACTTACTTGTAATAATCAATTGATACAAATTTAATTCCCCTTGGAATACCTTTAAGATGACAGAGATTCTACTTCCTTGCAGTTGTGAAATCAGGAAAGTTTTTCCTCATTTGTACTAGTGTAATTGGGTCACAATTTCATCTAATAATGATGGATACAAGCTTTTTGTTGGTGTGGGAGAAGGTACCTGTTTATTCCTCTGCTTTATGGAAAACTTGTTTTGCAATCATTAGCATCATGCAAACATTAAACTTGCTGAAAAAAATGGAGATGAAAATGTATGTTTCACTAAAATATCTTCATGTAGTCATCTGTTAATGTGCATATAACATTTTAAAGGTGAAACTGCCAGGCAAATGCTTCTTTTAAAATTTCTTCCTCTAATGGGAAGATGGTAGTCCCTCCACAGGTTAAGTTCCAACATGCTCACTTTTGAACTCCCTATCTTAGTCTCTCCCCCTCTCAGCTTCATTACTAGTAGTGTTATTTCATCAGTTTGTGTCAGTCTGGAAGAGAAACATTTCCTTTTTGAGCCTAGGCACATTATCTGAAGACGCTGAACATTTATGACTGTGCCTAATTATTTTTTTTTGTTCATGAACAAACCAACAGGATTGCTGTATTTGTTGCCCTGCTGCCTTTATTGCTACTCATGCTCAAGAAACAACTAAACCAAATTTTGAATCAAATGACTCAGGTTTAGAGTTGCAGCTTCTTCTGCTTCTTAGCACAGTTGCTGCATAGGAGTTCCTGTGCTATTTTCTTCTATTTGGTGCACGCAACCAGCGTATTGATTCTGTGATCTGTGCATTATATAACATCTATTTTTGTATCTGGGCAAGTGTGCATTGGATTGACTCACATAACCGTGAAAACTTTGTAAATATGTAATCTAGTATTACCAGCACTGTGTGGTAGACAGATCCAAATGATTCATGTATTTGTTAATCTTTATACTGAAGAAAATGAATGTATCCAAAAGATCCCACAGCAACATTAGTGTGTCAGGGATGGGCTTAAACAACTTTTTTTTCCATCTGATGAGACTTGTGTGTAGGTATGTAGTTTTGGGTACTGCAAATTTTTGAGAAGTTCTTGGGAAATGCTGAGCTGCTGCATCTGCTATTGAAGTGTCAGCTGGGAGAGAAGGCTGATGGTCTTGACGAACAGAGTAATATCAGGTTGAGAGAAATGAGTTTCCATTTGGGTGCAAAAGAAAATATTTTGCATTGATTCACCCTTATACTAACTGCTAAGAAAGGGCGATCTTCACAGTGTTTTGATAAATGATCACTTATGACAAGACTTAATGAAAATTTTAATGAAAGACCTGGGCCTAACATCAAACATGAAAGTATGTGGGCATGGAAGGAGGCTGGTGCAAGAAAAGCTCCTTGCTGATGGCTTGCAGCCTCGTGTCTCTGGAGACGGTCAGCATCCGTTCACACAGCAGCGCAACCTAGAGCAGTTTCTGGACTGCTCTGATTTTTACCTTGGCTGCTTACAGCGCTGGTGGTGGGACAGGAGAGCTGTAGGAACTCCCCATTTCCCAAGGCCTTCACAGATCCCTGTGGAAGAAAGGGATGTGCCATACCAGAAAGGCAAATGTATGCCAATACTCAATAGCTTTCTTCTGTACGAAGAAACAAGGTAGTTGCAAATCCCTTTCCTCCAGATACCACCCTTTTGATAGAGACCATGAGGAGGACTGAGGTGTGCTGCTCTATGCCCACTGAGGATTTCTGTGCAGTTTTGGATATTCTGCTTTGACAGACTTTTTGCGCTGGTAGTGTGTTGTAAAGGGACTATAGTGGAACTGCTGTGTGAGCCATTTAGTGGGACCATTCAGGACAGGAATCATGCAATTTAGTAGCTGTAGAAAGTTCAGTGTCTCTCAGATGAAGGCTTCAAAATCTTTATTTGCCATGGTCTATGTCAGCAAATTTCAGGGACCATGAAGTTTTGTATACACAAGTTATTGTATTTGAGCTCTTGTTTAACTTTGGCTAAATCTTTCTCCGCTAGAAATAAAACATAACAGAACGGCAGTTGAGTTTAAAAGAAAAGAAGTTAAGAGTTAAGGCCTATATATTTTTTTTTTTTTGTCCTGCACCTTGTCTGATCACTCCTGTGCAAATGAAAGGCTACTAAGTCAGAAGGCCAGTGTGTTACTTACTGACTTTGCTGCTGTAATTGACTGACTAAAGATGCAAGACAGAGAAACATCCACTGTCTTTAAACCTGGGAAAATGGTAAACGCAAACGTTAACAAGAGGACATTTTCTTCTGCATTTATCACCTTCCTATGACCAAGAGCTAAGTTCATTAAAGCTCCCGCTCTCTGCTTTTCATATCCAGAAGCACCTGGCAACACTGTTTTGTCCCATCCAATGTATCTAATAAATTTATTTTTATAGATTAGAATGAAGTGATGGGGAGTTCTGCTGTAACTCAGGTGTTACTGGAGAAGAGGGATGTGGCACCGAAACACTTAGTCTAGCTCACAGCAGTTGTTTCTACATCTTGCAGGAAAGTTTCTTTAGGAGGACACTGTCTCCATTTTGCGTGCAAAAGCTCTCCCTCCATGGAAGATCTGAGTTTTGCTCGGTGGTGCTTTTGGGCCCTATTTTGAATAACTCTTTAAAAATGTCATTTTCTTAATGTTGCTGGAATTTCTCATGTTGCAGTTCACTACCTGAAACCCACTTCAACATCCCTTTCAACGTCACAGGTAGAACAGCCAAAGTAGTTCTTGCTGGTCCCTCTGACAGATCACTTCAGAAACGCCTTCTGTGTTTTGGTCAAAGAAAATGTTGCTTGAGGAGGTACGTGCGCTGTGCTGGTCTAAGTTGGGGTGGGGAAGATTGGAAGCAAACTAAATAGTGAACTCAGCTTTATTAGGATAAGGAAAAATACCTTCAGGTCTCTGTCATGTGCTTAACTTCTAAAGAAAATGCTGCTGTGGATTTTCTGTTATTCTCTCCTGAATGTCCATTAGGAGTAGAATAGACAGGAATGGGTTTTTAAAATTATTCTAGAAAGAAACCAGTGAAATAAGAGCAGTTTCATTTTTTGTACTGTATTTTGGCCAGAGAACTGTGTACACTGTAGCAATTAACTGTTTTGATTTTGTGTATTGATTTTCAGCCTTGTTGGAGTTTGTCATTCATCTGAGGGCAACGGGCACCTTTGCAACCCACAAAAGAGGCAGGTTTCAGCAGAAGACACCCAGTACATTTTCATGGAGATTTCCTTTAATTCTGCCCTTAGTTGCTTATAATGAATGTCATTCTGACTGAAAGCACGCTGTAATTACAAGGTGCTGACAAATCTCTCGCTAATTCTGCATGTGCGTCACTGAGAGCCTTCCTTCAAAGGAGGTCTGGGAGAAATGTCTGTCTGTGGGGCCAGTCCGCTTTCGGGGAGGGGGGGAGGTATCTCTGCTTGCACACGAACAGTGTCACTGGCAAAAGGTGAAGGGGGAATGTATAGTCACCACTCCTGCTGTGGATTATAGCCTCTCCTTGTCTTTGTACCTAAATTCTATCATTTTCTTTGTTATGACATAATACAAAATATTTAAAAAACAACAATGAAAGACCCAAAACTCTGCTCTTTTTTTTTCTCCCCCTCGCTCTCCTGATAGACCTTAATGAGAGGATATTTTCTCAGTAAGAGCTGATAGGAAGCACTGATTTCTGTGTAAACAGTGGAACACTGTCATCTGAAATCTAGGAACTGGGAAATCTAAATTTATTAATATAATAAAAATACTATGCTTGCCATAGGACGTGAGATTTTTAATGTGATTTGAGGAAGCCTGATGTAGTTACAATACGCTATAAAGAATTAAAATCTCTTCCAACATAGTCCTACCCCAACACATTCACCTAAAGAAAGCTGTCAGCAAATAAATTGTGAAATAAAGCTCTAAAGTTATAAGAGGTTTTTTCTGTTCCCTCCATTACAAAGTTGTGTTTTAGCTTCAAACCAGTCTGGTCTCTGTCTGCTCTGCCTGAAAATACACCTGAAAGGAATCTGCATAGTTGGCGTGCATATGGGTGAGATACCCAGCTGGCCCTTTGTGTGGGGTGGGTGGTCTCTACCACAGTGATGGGCAATAGTAATTCCTGCTTTTGGTACTTTAACCTGTA